GGTGGGGTGAGGGTCCCCTCAGTGCCTCAGTCCCTGGTCGTTTCCCGCCAGTCTGGGGCTTGGGGCTGGGCAGACTCTGGCCAGGTGACCGGGTTCCCCACATCGGTAACAGCGGTCATGGAGAGGTCTCCGTCGGGGCTCCCTTGCTGGTTGAGCATTACTACTCTCCGCCTTCTCGGCCATGCCCTCTCCCATCCCTGGTTCTGCGGCACGGATGTAGGGGCATGGTGGCAACGCTCTCGCTGGCCGTGGACCCAGCACCTCTTCGGCCCTCTCGGCTTTCCTCAGCGCCTCGTCTATGTTGCAAGGCGCCAGGAGCCGGACATGCTGTTGGTGCCGCTCTGGGGCGAGGCCCCTCAGGAAAGCGTGGAGGCTCAACTCACTTCGTGCCAACACCAGGAGGGTGGGATATCCTCGTCTGACGTAGAGCCGTAGGTCAGCGGCAAAGGCACCCAGGCTCTCTCCTTCACGGCGGCGGCGGGTAGCCAGTTCTTCTCTACTCTGTTCGGCAGATGTTCTCTGGCCGAAATGGCAGTCGAGGGCAGCAATGAGAGAGGGTAACTCAGCCTGTTCCTCTGGAGACAGATCGAGGAGGACCTGTAGTGCGGTCCCCTCTAAGGCAAGGGCGGGTGGCAGTCTCTCCGGGGCTCCATCCTGCGTGGAGGGCTGCTAGGTTCACTTGAGCAATGTAGGGCTCCAAAGGAGTCAGTCCATTATAACGGGGCAGCTTGACTGCTGGCCGGGGCAGGAGGTTTGTACCGGGGTTCGGCGCTGGGCTGGGTGGCTGGGGGTAGCCCTCCACGGGATGCGTTTGCCGTGGGACGCTGGCGCCATCCGCCCGGACCGGTGTCTCACTCCGTCGTAGCATCCCTGTTCTCAAGCGCTCAAGGTGGCGAGTATTCTCAAAAACCTCTCTCTCTATCTCAGCTAGGCTCCTCTCCATAGTGGCGTTCGACTGAATGACGTTAAATCCCACTGCTGACACAAATTGTAGTGACCTCTGGCGCGGAGGAGAGGAGCTAATCCTAACGGTGAAGCTCTCTAACAATTTCTCGAGGATCACACCTTCCCCTTATGTCACTGGCACAGTGTGCACCCTCACCCTGAATTGCTCTTCAGTGGCGTAATTCACTGTTCTCATATCACAGCATGTCAGCCAGCTCTCACTTGTCTTTTATTTTCTCAGTCTTGGCCACAACAACAACACACACAGGCATTATACAGCGAAAACACTTCCAATCGAACAGCAGTCAACAGGTTCGAGCACCGAATGCTCGATGCAACCCAACACACACAGCATGAACCCAACAGTCATTTTTAACCCCTCAAAATACAACAATAACAAGAACCGTAAAACACAATGACTCAGGATTATACCACAATATTACGCTAACTATTTACACATTCGCATAATGCTTGCCGCTGCCCCTAACCCTCCCGCTGGCTGGCATAGTCATCACAGTATATTTTTTCTGCTTTTGTAAAACAGCCACCCTGGCTGTGTTCCTTCCTTCCAATTAGGGCAATAAGGTAAACACCATTTTTCAGTAAATTAAATATATTAAGGTCTACTTTGGTCCCAGAAATATTAGCCTATATGTCCTGTGCACTTATTCTGTGCAACAAGCAAGCTAAGCTTGCAAAAAGAATGAGGCCTGTTAGCTCTTTTGTTAGCCAACTTAAACTAATTCTTGTGGAGCACTAATAGAATTGTGGCCAAGGGCTGAAAGCAATAGGCATTCAACAGCCTTTTTTCATTTCGTGTCAAGATTTGTTTCTATTGAATGAGTATTTATTTTATAGCCCATTAAAGCAGCCATAATCATCAGAAAAGGGCCACATGAATTGTCTTTGTATCAGTAATGAGTTGTTTTGGAAAGCAACGTCAAACTATCCCGGCTGCCAGTAAAGAATGTGGCTAGTCTACTATTCTGGACATACAGTTCAATAACAAAGTTTTTTTTTAAATCATACATTATTTTATTGACAGGTGGAATGACCTTAAACGATTGAGTTCACCAGATGCTGTTTATTATTTTTGACAACTACAGCATTGCTAAGACCAGAGAAAAATTGTGATTACTGTTATTAACAACACTACTATTATATACAGGTTCATTACAGGATGCACACCCTCATGCACTTTATGACTCACTTCACATACTGTATATACTGCTTCTTAAATTTGTATTCAATGTAAATCCAGTTGGGGCATAATTGTCCAGTATGGGCATTATCCACAGGTATATTTGATTATGACCCATCTTGACATGTGGGTGTGAGAACAATCAACCATTTATTAAATTTTAAGCAGACCTTTCATTCTTACTGTTGATGGATAGAATGCAATAATAACAAACTGGTTACTGTGCAAAATTAGTTCCATGTTGTGGACACGGCAGATGAGTGATGAGGGAAATTGTAGCTCAAACAGACTACATCAAAATAATTGCCACACAAATAACATATAAAATTTTGCTGTATTTTCAGATTTCAACTCAGATCATATTGTGTTCTTGTATTATTGCCTGTCAGCAGTCTGCAGCCCAAGGGTTGAGAACTTCTGCATTTTAGAGGACCAGTGATCATTGCCTTCACCTTTATCTCTCACATTTTGTGAAATGTGTCACAAAGATGACTTTGTGGAGCACACAGCAGTACTCACAGTGAATTAGGTGAAAATTAGGAGTTAGAAGAACCACCTGAGATCAGGACTCCATCTTTACATCTCTGCATTGCCTGGGGCTCAGAACATTTTGTTACCATCACGACCCCCTGTGGAAAAACAGGAGAACCTTCAAGACACAAATCATTCTCAATGCACTTGTCTGGCAGATTCCAAACTATACCGAAGCTGTGGTCACATCACTGTTCAGAGTGCTCCACTAACTTCTGTCTGCACTTGAGGATGTTAAAAATTTCATGACACTGTACATCGATTTTGGAGCAAAACTCTTCTGTTCTGCCTTTAGCATCAACTATTTCAATCCAGACCCTTGAGTCACAGAAATGTCAAAAACCCATTTGTGCAAAGTGTACAAAATTAGAAACTTGTGAATAGTAACTGTAACACAACCGCCTTGATCAGAGACTCTAGCTGGGTCCAAATTTTGGGTGCTTAGCAATAGTATGGAACTTTTTCAGAACCAGTTGAACATTATGTTGAATCCCAGATAGTCACTGTTTTAACTAATTTTGAGACTATATTGCTTGAATAAATGTAAGTGGTGTTGGCTTCTAAACCTAATACTTGCCGCCTCAACCCTCTACCAGTTAAAATTTTCAAAGAGCTCTAGCTCGTTCTGGGCCTTACAATGCTGAATAACTTCACTTAAAATTAACTGGACAGAAATTTGCAATAACATCTTTTCTATGACCAGCAATGTAAACTTACAACTTATACAACACAAGACCATTTACAGGACCCATATTACACAAAGTAAAATGTTCAAAATGGGTTTCACTGACACAGACATCTGTTCACAATGCACTCTAGGGTGCACTGACAGTTACTTTCATGCTACTTGGACCTGCCAACCAGTTCATTCCCTCTGGATAGCAGTGACAGAGAAACTCTCCACCATCTTGGGCTGTAGAATCCCTCCTTCTCCATCACTTTGCTTACTTGGTAATCGACCACCTACCAATTAAATATAAAAACCTACTCCTCATTTCTCTAGCTATTGCCAAGAAAAAAATCTTTCAAAATTGGAAATAAAAAAAATCACTACACATAAACCACTGGACCAAACTTCTGACAGAATACATCACATTAGAGAAAATGGCATCCACTCACAAGAATAGTTTATCAGCTTTTTATGACACATGGAACCCATTTTTAACACATTTCAACTTGAATCAAATACCTGGGGCTGAGGTCACGCACATTCCCACCAACCTCTAGAAAAGTAACAAGCTGATTTTTTAATAGTACTGTTATCATCATTATTATTGGTAATTTTTTTTAATTTACTTCCCCTCCTTTTCCCTTTCTTGCATTTCATAGTCTGCATAAGTTGGAAATACCCACATTTCACACACTACAACCTTGTTAAACACTCTATATCCTTTTGTAATGACATGTAACTGTTGTCTTGTCTCCCATGTTCAGTACTGTTTTGTTAATGTGTTTGTTTCAATAAAACAAATAAATAAACTTAACATTTAAAACTTGCATTGTCCCCATTGCCCTCAACTTTCAGCTCTTTCAAAAGTGCTAGAAATAGTGGTGCACCAGCAGTTTCAGTCCACAGACATACGGAAATAGTGTAACCGGCGGGTTGGCCACGCCTATACCGCCAGGTGAGCAGTTTGCTGGGTTGATTATGAATATGAATACCACCCCTGGAGAAGCTGTTGCAATACGCAATTCCTGTGCTTGTGCTGGTTGTCGCTGTAATTGTTTTGAAGTGAATCTCCCTCTATTGATCTGTATTCTGCTTTCCCTTTGAGATTGTTTAGGGGATTATTGCATGCTCTCCAGGGGTGATAATTGATGTAAGCCTGATCCTGCAGAAGTTGGTGTCCATCGCACATGTTGTGCTAGGGTGACATGCAGCCAAGGAGTGATAGCCACTGCTGCTTTGCATTGCTTAGCTTTGTTTTGTGTGCTTTTAAGTTAAGAAGCTTACTCAGTATTATATCTCCTATTCATTGTATAGTACCCAAGTTTTATGGTGTATGAGCTGTATATAAATGGCTTGAGGTGCAGGGAGGCAAGACCCTCTTATGTTTGGTTTGGGTTTGGTATGGATTGATTGCTGTGATGTTTATTTATGGGTCTTTTCTAACCCGTAGACCTCTGACTATTTTTTTATTCCTGTTCTGTATTTATTGAGCGGGGAGTAACTTCTTCTTAAGCCTAGTATTTTAGCTTCTGGGGTTAGGCCTTTTTAAACATTGTTCCACTGTTAACTTATTTAGCGACTCAAATAAATCCTTATTTTTGTGGACAAACCCAGTGTCTCTGTGTGCTTGCAGACTTATCTGTGTGTGGTAACCCAGTACTTGTGGAATTTGTACGAATTTGACCTCTTGAAACATTAGGGATAATATTCTTTGAGAGCTACTAAAACTTAGTGTCTGGGTTGCATAAGCCTGTATATTGGCCTGGTCACAAGAGTAATCTTTTCTGACCTTTTCAGTCTGTTTTCAGAATGATCTTCTCCTTAACATGAATTCAGATTCCACCTTTGTCCTTTTCTTACTTGATGTCAGCACAGCTTTTGTCACCACAGATCACTGTATAATCCTAGGTCCCTGGTAGGCTAGTGGTTAAGGCACAGAGCTCTCACCACCTGGGTTCGAATCAGGGTTGCGTCAGGAAGGGCATCCGGCATACAACACGTGCCAAATGTCAACATGTGAGTCGTCAGTGTGACGATGCGCTGTGGTAACCCCTAAAAACAGGAAAAGCCGAAAGTGACTTTCTTTTATCATTGTATAATCCTAGACCAACTGGAAAACAAAGTTGACACCTCTGACTTGGCCCTCATGTGACTTAGACCTGTCAGGTTTGCCCGGCTGCACCTTCCTCTCTTCTCTCTTTCTCGCTCTAGTCTGCTCCTTCTCACTGACTCTCTTGATTAACACACCTGTCCTGATTTTCTGACACTCTTCAGCTGCGCCTCCTTTGTCACTCCCTATTTATACCCGGCTTTACCTTCACTCCCTTGCTGGTTCTTTCTATGTTGTTAGCCTTCTTTACATTACGTATTATACTATTTTTCTCCTGTGTTCACATATGTTATTAGTTCTAGCGTCTCCTGTTGTTTTACCTGGACCTCTCCTCTGGACCTTGGCTTCCTCAGCTCCACCAACCGCTTTCACAGGTCGATGCACAGTCTCCTCATTCATACCACTCTCTGTTACTCCTCAGTCTACCGGATCTCCACCTTGACCAGCTCTGGAGTGTCGCCTTCTCTTGCAGCCCAACCTCATCACTCCACGGACAATAACCCATTCACTAATGCTGGTCATCACCCGGTGATATTCATTCATTCATTCTACTGTTTGTATATAGTATTGCACCCCTGTTGTAGCACTGTTAATAAACCCACCTATTGCACCGAAGCCAGCCGCCTGGGTCTGTTCATTTCTGCTCGCTCACAATTGTGTCGAGCGATCCTAACAAGACCATGCTTATTTGAAAGAACACAGTCTGCTTCTTATAAAAATACTATAACAGTATTTTCTGATGTTAAATATGGAGTACCCCAGGGCTCTGTTCTTGGCATTCTGTTCTCTCTTTATGTTTCACCTCTTGGGCAAATTATATGTAGTCATGAAATTAATTTCAGCTGCTACACTGATGATACTAAGCTGGATATGCCTGTAAAAGCAAATGATCCTTGTAAAACTACAAAATTAAAGGCTTGTTTGTCTGCTGTGAGAAACTGGATGCCACAAAATTTTCTGCCCCTCAAGTCAGAGAAAACCGAGGTGCTGATCACTGGGCTGACGTAGACACCAGTTTGATCAGTTAACAAGTCTTGACAACTGAATAATTTCTCAAAGACTTGTTAAATAAAAAAAAAAACCCTGATCAGCAAAGTGCCCAGCCAATATTTCTACAAGTGATCTTCAAAAATGTGGAAACTATGCCCAGGAGCTTATTGCTTTGTGAAAGAAATTCATCTAGATGAATTATATTGTGGATCAAATTTCTTTGTTTCTCCATATTTCTGAATAATTATATCATATGCAGTACTTGCTCTGCTGCCACTAGTGTTATTTACAGGAGCAGAGTTACTTTATCTGCAGTGTCGATTTTGCCTTTATCAAGCACTTGTGTCACTAATGGATACAGTCAGAAGGATATTAGTTCACACCATTTACTGATGCTGATGTTACTGATACAGTATGTATAAATGTATAACAGAACCTTTGCCATTCAGATTAGGTTGAGGTTTGTGGGATAAGATGTTTCAAAGAACACTAATACAGTACATGGCCTTGGTCACAACATTTTATACCTGCAAACAGAAATGACACTTTAAAGAGTTCTGGGGTTTATCACACCTTGAGTTTTATTTTCACACCAGTGGCCTTCAATTCACAAGCATTCACTTGCTCAAACTATTGTCTGTAAATTGTCAAATGTTTTGGCAGCTTTGGTAGTTGGTCTGCAGCTAATGTGGACCTTAATTCTTTTGTCAAGAGTAAACACTGACCTTTGTAGCTGAAAAGGGATAATATCAGAATGCTCACAGCTTGTGGAAATTTCATTATGATGAGTGACATTCCCACTTTGTAGCTGAATTTGGAAGCCTCACAAAACTGTACCACTTGCAGATTTCAACAAAGCATATACTAGAGTGAAGGTACAACGATACAACTAGAGCATATAGATGAGATGACAGGCATAAGGAGGACGTACTCTGCCAGACTCACTCTGGCTCTGAAAGTGCACAGTCATCCATCACAAAGCAGGGCATGCTGTGACACATACAACAGCACTAACAACAACCTCTAACAAGGTGCACCACTGATAGAAAAAGATGCACAAGAATCCTCTGTCAAAATTAGCAACCATGAAGCCATTAGTCACAATGGAATAGGCCCTGCCCATTAGGTCCTACAAGTTAGTTCCCAGTAGTTTAATGTCCACTGCAGCCCTTGCTTAGTATTATGCTTGCTTATGATTTCTGATCATATTATTCTCTGTGTTCCAGAGAACCGTCAACTCTCTAATTACTCTTCAGAGCACTAAGGCCATGTTCATCCTTACCACTCATTCAAACAGGCTCAGTACAATGAATCAGTCACTGAGACAT